TAGCYTTTCAGAACCATTYSTGATGTGAGAATGAGTCATAAATAACTTACTCTCTTCTTGAACGTTTGTAGTAAAGTTAGATTTATGCTCATTTCTCTGCTTGGACCAACAATCTGCTTCTTTGTGACCATTCTTCTTGCAATATCTACACTGAATACTGCTCTTGAACTGATTTTGCTCCTTAAATCCACCATTGTGTTGGTTTTGATCTCCATAAGAACCTCGGTATTGATTCTGGTCATTAGAGAAACCTCTTCCTCTGCCATAACCACGACCACGACCATTAAATCCACCTCTGCCTCTGCCACGGCTTCCATAACTCTCTGATCTTCCATTCTCTGAAAAATTCCCTTTCACTTGAAAAGCTTTCTCTTCTGCCTTTTCAGAARTCTTGCTAATCCGATCTTCATGAGCTATCAAGGAACTCATCATCTCATCAAACGTGTAAGTGCTCAGATCATTAGCCTCAATAATTGRAGGAACAATATACTCAAACCTTGGTGACAAACTCCTCAAAACCTTGCTCACAATGCTCTCGTTGCTAAGAAATTCACCATAAGACTTCATTTGATTCACAATTGCAGAAACTCTAGCCAAATACTCTTGAACAGATTCCTTCTCCTTCATAGAAAGAGTTTCAAACTTTTGACGCAAAGTTTGTAACTTCACAATGATTACCTTCTGAGCACCCATGTACTCTTGCTTCAAGATCTCCCATGCTTCATGAGCTGTGTTAACTGCCGAAATTCTGGACAAAATATCCTCATCCAGTGCCGATTGGATGAAGAACAAAGCCTTTGCATCTTTCTTACYTTTRTCCCGTAGWGGTTGATCGGGTTCCTCCGGATTCGGATCTTCAAAACCAGTCTCCACCAAATCRCATAGCTCCTGCGATCGGAACATCGTCTTCATTTTGAGACTCCACAAATGATACTTCTCTCCTTTGAAAATTGGAACAAGGCCTGCATATTCGTGCCGTTGTTCGACATCGTCGTCTTCTTCAAGAGGATTGAAACCCGGAATTTGCTCTGATACCACAATTGTTGGAAATAATCGATTGAGAGGAAGAGAGATTAAAACTGAAAACTGCAATTTCTATTAAGAAGCTTAAAAGATTCAAGTACAGAAACAGAAATTTAAGGAAGAAGAAGATAACTACCCAATAACCCACGATAAGAAAATTCCCAAATTACAATAACCTAATTGATTGAAACTACCCACGTTTCCTAAACCACTAAACCAATAACCKATTTRCTAAACCATAAACTTCCGAAAGACTAGCTTTGACTTTGAATCAATCAACATCTGGCAAACAGCTGATGTAATCTATAGGATCCATAGCTACTCTTTGGGCAGACATAGATTAGGGTTTTAATCGAACCTATCCATTCGATTAGGGTCATCAGTCTTAAAGGAAAATCCTAAGACATGGAAAATCAAACACAAACACAATTGAACAATTGTTCAATTAACTTACGATTAGAAAAGGTCAACTTCGATCACACTTATATATCGATCACACTTTTTCCTATTATCTTTTGGAAGTTTTATTTGAGCTAATTTGATAAAAATACCCTTCATATCGATGGTCTAAAATTTGAATGTTACACTTATTTATGAATTCTAAACATACCTCGCTATATTTTGTCTCTTGCGGATTTTGGTCCAATTTCTTTAATAACATGGAAACTATGGTCTTTAGAGGTTTTATGTAGTTTCTATAAAACTTCTTAGCTAAACATAAATATGGCATAATCGACTCATTTTAGTTTCAAAGTCTAAAACAGACATATATAATAAATTTGCAGCGTATAACTAAAGCAAATTCAAGATTTATTTGATGAAAAACGATAATTTATAGAAAATATGATATGATTTTAATTTATATAATTGCAAATGAGCATGTTTTATAATTTTGGTAATTTGGATGTAATCGTCATCCAACTTTTTTACACCAATTAATTGTACATGAGACGGTGATATAATTTCAACTGCTTTTCTTGCACCACCATTTCCTGTGACGACCATCTTTATCACCATTTAACCGAAGTCTTGCCTTTGTCCCTCTTAGTCTTGCTTTGTAATCTTTCTTCCACTTTTCAAATCTTAACTTCAGTCTACTGAGTTCTTCTCCTGCGTGCTGCTTCCTGATTGAAACCGAGTCTGGTTCCAATTTCACATCCACATGACACTTCACATCCTCATCAAATACGACTCTCCGTTGTTCAAATTCAACAGAAAGATTCTTAACAGCATTCAAGCTGCCATTAAGCTCTTCTGTGGTAGTTCCATGGGACATTGTCTCCTCTGAGTCATTACCATCACTTGCAGTCTTGTCTGGAACCATGATCTTACACGCAGCTGCAAGACTCATCTGCAAGGACATATTTCGATTTAAAAAAAAAAAAAACCGTAATCTTCTACCGATCATAAGTATGCATGATGCTTATTGCGCGCAGTTATGGATATTAACACTCACTTACCTGCATTGACGACATATGCTTTTGCAATGTTTCCTCCATTAACTTCATTCTTGCTTCGTGCTCTAACCATCGTACCTCAAATCGTTGCAACTCTTCCTGCAAATTAGTGTTTTCATTTTCCTTCTGCATAATAGCAGCTTCGACTTTTAGAACCCGGCTCTGAAGATCAGCAAGAACCAAAGGTTGGACCTGAAACTGCTCTAAAAGAATGTCCTAAACACAAAAGGTAATAATAAGTTTTCAGCAGTGGGTAATTGAGAGACATATACATTAGGCAAACCACTACCTTATCTTCTAAAATTCTCCTCCTAAACTTTCTTCTCGATTTCTTCTTCTCATTCTGTGGTTGTTTCTTCTGTTGCATTCTATTTTTTAAGTGTTTACGAACCAACCATCCGCGTACCACTACGTAAAACGTGAATAACTTTAAAAATCTGATCTAAGATGGAAAAACAAGTCCTTGATGCCTTAGGGAAGACAAGGATATTTACTAGATTGAAGGTGTATGATTGCATCAAGATCTTCAGTTATTGCTGAGGAAACAATAGCCTCTTTCTCCACCACAATGTAGTTTCTCCTGTCATTTACACCCCGAATATCTGTAGCAAAATAATAATTTAGCCAAGAAATCAAAGAGAAGACGAATAAGCATATGCCGTAAAAAATATATACATAAAAGGAATCAGAAGACATATGTTAGTGATTACATGATTGAAGTATCACTGCTGCATTTCTCATATTGTGGAAATATTGACGGGACAGATAACCACGAAATTTCTTCTGTAATCCAAGTATGCCACGCATAACATATTTTCTTCTTTCCTCAAGGACGCCAATCTATTAAATATATAGAGATAAAAGTGTTATATGGTAGATAGATCATGAACCAATATAGTATCTCCAGGTAAAGAGAACTTACTTGTCCAGTTCGGAGGTATATTTTCGTATAACCAACTTGATACATTTCAGGAGGAAGATTGTATTGCTTCATAATTGCATTTGATGTGCTAAGTGGATCCTGAGAGATTTCTGTGTCCAGCAGTAGGAACCCATATCTAACTCATGAACAAGCCAACAAAGAAAAAAATGCTTAGGAACACATGGGACTTTAGGATAGTATAACTATCGGCAAAATGGTGTGTTAAAGTTTAGAAACCACACCTTAGTGCAAGCTCTTGATGTGTCATCCGAGTAGGATATCCGGATCTTGATATTCTAACAATCTCCAAAACGCCACAACATCTAAGCTGTTGTAGAACATGATTCTCTTCGTAAAGTCCAGGAAGCTGCTTTGAATTTGGCTTTATGCATCGAATAAAGTGAGGAGTTGTGTCTTCTAACTTGCTCATCAACTTGAAAAGTTGGCCCTGCAAGCATAAAGTGAGGCGAAATTCCGATGATCCATTCAAATTCAAAAAAGTTTAAAAAGAGATGATTAAAGTTGAGAGACTATTTTCAGAAAACTGTAAGAAAATAAGATTCAAGCCTTGTCACCTTAAACTTTGTAATCACACTTTGATTCATGGAGTCCGAAATGGTTGCCGGCTTTAGAGACTTGTGACACATCTTAGTAGAGAACATGTTCAGTAATTGACATTTGCATGATGACAGAAACTGGATAAGATCAATATGCAGCGGATCTCTGTTCTTTTCCAGGAATCCCTTTGTATCATAGAGAACCTATTAAACACAATAAAGTAAAGAACTGTAACCACAATTACACAAGGAGATATTAATTCGTTCATTCTCTTGCACCTTAATCATTTCATAGATTCATAAAAACTATTCAATACGCATAGTTAACTTGTTGGATTTGGGGTTATCAAATGACCTCTCCAGCATAATGACTAACTCTGAAACCCCGACCTCTCTCTCCCTTGAAACAAGAGTTACTCTTCAAATGCTGCTTGAGCTTGTTGGCAAATGTCGTATCAGTTGCCTTTGGAAAATTTGATTCCTCATCTAGTAACGATACCACACCAATGGGTTTCTGCACAAGCAACCATATGCCTAAGATGAATTTTTTTTTTTTAACAAAGAAAAAACCTTAATTCCATAATAGCTTAAAGCAAAGCATCATACCATCCTTTTCCATATGGACTAAAAAAACAAGACGAGTAAACAAAAATTACCTTCTCAATCAGATTTAGACACTCTTGATTGTCTTTGAATTCGACCTTAGTCCAATCAATTCCATCCCCTTCATATTCCTGAAGAACGAAGATACTTTTATAAATAAAGTAATAAACAATAGGCAATACATGTGATTGATGAGTGTAGCTGACCAGAAGCGTAAAGGACAAACAAAAAAACACCTCTTCATATAGTTTAGGCAGGCTTAAGAGAAAGAAGATCACCTCTTGTTCAAGTTTAAATAGATGTCGGTTGAAATGTTGCTGCAGTCTTTCATTTGCATAGTTTATGCAGAATTGTTCAAAGCTATTATTCTAAAACCATAGAGACTTAATCATTACACAGTTAAGGGATATAAAAACTGAAAAAATCTCGAGCATGCTTACGAACCTTAAATGACTCAAACCCATATATATCAAGGATACTAATAGATCTTCCTGTACGTGATCTACCAACTTCCAGTGAAGTATTTATTTGCTCAACAAGCCAGTTAAAAAGGCTCGCATAGATGATTTTTGCTAGGGAATCTCTCATATCAGTCGCCTGCATTATATATGGCAAAGCAATTCAGACACTACCTTCAGATACAGAGAAATTACAACTTACATGTGATATATGGCGACTAGACAAACCTGTCGTAGTGTCAGCCTTTTAGCAATGCAATCTCTACCAGCTTGGAGCTTGCATGTAGACAAAACCACCATAAGGTCCTTTGAGTTGCAGCCCATTAACATAGCTACATTAGTGACAGCTGCAAGAAACAAGATCAAAATAATAAGTGTCACCGTATTTAATCCTAGTAAGGCACAACCTCTCCACTAATTCAACATGAAAAATGTCAGACGATGAATCATACCTTCATCAGCTACCACTTCCACATGGTTTTCATTATCAATCACTTCAAAAGATACATTCCCTAACCATAACACAGCTGCAAGCAGAGCAAATGCACGTTCTTGATATTCTTGAGGAATTTGAACAATGTTGAAAGCTTCCTATAATAACAGAGAAATCTCTGACAAAATAAGAAACTACAGAAATCTGGCATCTGTTCGTTCGATGGAAAACAGAGGGAGGCACTAGAAATAGAAAAAAAGTTACCATCAGTTTGTGAAACTTCTGAGCATCATCAATGCGGTCAATGGTTAAGCAATTGCTCTGGTTCAAATACTTGTATTCACTTGCTACTTTAAGCCTCAATCTCTCTGTAAATAAAATCATATAAGAAATTGTGTAGCAAATTCTAATTCATCATCCAGCAAGGACACTTCCAAAGCATGTCATATGCGGCTGAATAAATCAAATACATGAATTAGTTTTTCTATATTTCCATTTGGAATGTTACCTTTAAGAATTGGTGAAGCCCCTGCACACAATTCATAAAAGATATGGTAGGATCTCTCGCCACTGGACAGTTGAACTACTCTTGACTGATCGAAAGAGACTACTAATCAGCCCACCAAAAGCTAACATGTGAAATCTGACTAAAGCTTTCTCAGAAGAAACAAAATTACCTTTTCTAGTAGAACTATGGTCATTCAACGCAAGTAGTCACATAAACATGGAGAGGAAACAAAAGAAATGTGAGAGCCCAGTAGTCGATCAATTATGACAAATAATCATACAAATGTTCAATTCTTACAAGTTTCAAGTTTAGCTCCGCATATCTTTCCCTTTGCACTAAAATGAATCTCCATTAGCTTTCCCTGCACCATTTCAGATTACTATCGAATCCAAACCACTTCTCAAAGGTACACTTATAGGCTGACACCAAAGTGTCAAATTTACAATTACTCACAAATCGGCTAGAGTTATCATTTCTTGATGTTTTAGCATTCCCAAAAGCTTCAAGTATACAATTTGTCTTTAGGATTTCATTTTCGACCCCAAAGCTACCTCCGCCAAGAGCTTCCAAGTACTGCATTGCATATTTTGCTGTCTCAGTTTTCCCAGCTCCACTTTCTCCACTATGGAATAATAGTATTCAATTAATCGTTGATGTTCGTATCATAAATCACCATGACATGAGCATAGTCATATCATCGTTTATGTACACAAAAAGCCTCGTACCTTATGATAATAGATTGGTTCTTCTCCTCTGCGTAAAGGAAAAAATCAATAGGTAAATGCCATGAAGAAGGAAAAAGTGTAAAAAAAAAAAACTTGTTTCCACTCACCTCTCATCATCTCATCATAAGCTGCATCTGCCACTGTATAAACATGAGGAGAATCCAAAGCCTTGTTCTGATATGCTAATAGAATTTGGTTTCCATAAATCTGGACATTCTTAAACGGATTTACTGCAATCAAAACTGGCCCTGCTTTACTCTATAATCGAGAAAGGTGAAATTATGTTAAAAGACTCAGCTAAAATGACGAAAAATCAAACAAACCAAAATTTCTTTTCTTCCAGTAAACTCACATAAATCAAGTCTTTTGAATATCTGACCCGGAGGTTGTAAAGAACAGATGGTTCATTCAAATAAGTAATCTGTATAAGGTCTTCAACTCCGTCGAGAATATTTGGGTTTGCAGGGAAAATCTCTTCCATTGATACTTTCACAACCTTAAAAATATCACAAAGTTAACAAATTCTGATACACATAATAGCTAAATCAGAAATCTTTTTTAATAAAGAAACTTACCTCAGTACTAGACAACATAACACAAGCCGCATCACCAGAGACAGACTCTAACTTCCCCAAGTCCCACTCTCCTCCATTAGCAACTCGGCACCAAACACGAAGTTTCTGAAATAAAACACGATTGGTCGAAAACTAATACTTGAATAAAAGACAGTAATGAACTGTTACAGGATCAAAGTTGAATGATGAATGAAGAAAGAATCGATTACATTCTTAATGAAATGATCAACGTTATTGAGACATTCGGTTTCTATGTGTTCTTCTGAGTTCCTCTCTACACTCACTTTATCAACATCCTCTTTCGTCTCGATTGTAGTGATAACACAGCCGCTCTGGTCGCCAATTGCGTTACAGAATTTCGCTGAAATCGATTGAGGAATCGCCAACATTTGTGCTTTAGAAGTTGGTCGAGAGGGAAGCGACGGCGACTTATCCTTAAACCTATCGCACACGTCATGCCGGCGGATAGACTCCGACGTCTCCTCCACTGAATTTTTCATCATTTGGTTATACAATTCCTCAAAACCCACCAATTGTTAAAAAAATTCACAAGAAAACAATCGAAAAATCGGAACTTTGTCGAGGAGTTTGGATCAACAAGCATTTTCGCGCCATCATAAACCCTAATTCTCTAATGCCTGCAGCCTGTGTAAGTTATAATCCGTCGCCTTGAAATTTGAAATATTAACGAAGAATCTCTAAAAAAAAAATTAAAATCTCCAAGAAAATTAAATGAAAGGGAAAAAATAGCAAAACGAAAACACACAATGAACAACTGAAAAACAGAGATAACAACAATAAACCTTAAATAAAGAAACTGAATTTTGCCATTGAATAAACAAAGAAAGAGAATTGAGAGAGAGAGCCATTCCTGCTAATATTAGAGAGGAAATTTGAAAGCACAGAGACACTGACTGAAGAGTGAAAACAAAAGAAGCCAATTTAAGAAAAAGAAAAAAAAAATTGTTTCGTGTTGAAATGAATAAATGGGCTTTTAACAAAAACTATAGGCCCAATAAATGGACCCGACCCGATTCGAAAGCATTACGTGAAATCTAAATTCGATTTGTTTCCGTCTCTCTACTCTCTTTGCTTCGTCGTCTCTGACCTAAGCGAAACCCAAAGAAGCAGCCATGACCAAGAACAGGAACAAGAAGAAGAGAGACGACGCCGTTTCCATGGACGTTTCCGATACTAAGACCGTCTCCGAAGCTGCTCCTCAAGGTAAAATCGAGGTCCATACTCTCGTTCCTTGAAGATTCTAGCCTAGGTCGAACAAGTTTGGATTCAATTGTTTGATTTTCCATTTTTTCTTGTTTGATTTCGTTAGCCATGGACACTACAGAGACCGGAGACGCGAAACTAGCTGCTCGTGCTCGTAACCTGTAAGCTTTAAGAATCTAATCCTCTTCCAAAGCTTCCGTACTCTTCTCCAGAACAATTGCATTGAAACTAACTTGAACTTGATTATCCTATTCGATTTGTGGTTTGGCTAGTTATGATACTTACGACAAGGCTTGTGAACTAGTTTAGATCTATAATCTCTGGTATTGTGAATTCCCTTTTTTTTGAGTTTGGACCTGGAGTCATTAAATCATGGGAGTTTTTGCTTACTGTCATATTACTTTAATAATAATGGTTATAATTTCAAGTTTCCACATTAGTTGTAAATCTAGAAGGTGAACACTTGGGAGACATTATGCAAGTTGTTGAATGAGAGAATATCGGACAGGTTTCGCTCGGAAACTTAACTGGTTTATCGGTTAGTTACGATAATGTACCAAGGCATGAAACGCTTGAAGTTAGTATTTTTAGAACATACAGTATATATGCCGTTTTCTTCAGAGGAAAAGCTATATGCTGGCTTGCGATTGATGTTTTCTTTGGATCTCCTCACTGTGCTTTCCTTTGACCCGGATGACATTTCCCATTTTCTTTTGGACAAACACCAGGAAAGGAAAACCGATGAAGAGAACAAAGAATGCAAGGAAAATGAAAGCTGTGGCTAAAGCGATAGCGTTGAACGACAAGTCTACAGAGAAAGCTTCAAAAAACATAAAGAAAACTCTCAGAATTCTTTCGGCCAAGAAATTGTACGAGTGATATTGGTTAAAAGCTACAAAGAAGGACAAAAATATTAGAAATTTTTGAAGGTTTTTATTTTGTCTATTTTAGTTTACGTTTATGCTTATCCTAGAAAAAAGAGTTTCAACAAGGATTCATGTTTACGAATGTTTATGAATTAACCAAATGGTCAAATATGTTCTTTTTTTTGTTTCATCTAATATGTTCTCTACAAAGACTGTTTTTCTTAACAAATTCTCATCTTCAAAAAAATATCTTAATATAGACGAATGTTCCAAAGCACATCTCAAGCCTCAAGTCTAAATATCATTCCTCTTCAGCTCCCACAAACTCTACCTTGAGACCACCTTGAGGGAACTACTACTTCAAACATGGATCCAACAATCATTCAAATATAAAGATCAAAATGTGGTACAATGTCCAAGACATATATACATATGGATGTGTATTTCTATATTACTTCTATATCCAACAGAAGAGCTTCTCTGCACAAGTTTTGTTCTCTACAAAGTTTCCTTTGCTCGGTCTACTGGAAAATATATGCGCTACAACTTCTGGGATGTATTTTCAGTCTGCATCTGTTACTTCAGCTTCTATGTCTACGACTGCTGTTGAGAAACCCTTTCCTGGACAATCAAAAACTTCATCTCACCACTGGATTCACAAGAGATCCGTACTTGATTTGCGCAGAAGTAAAACAGAAATTTGAGCAAGTAACCTTTCTTAGGTGCAGAAGAAAACCCATTTAGGTCTTGTCCGAAAGCACTCGTATGGTTGGAGAATTTCACTGGTTCTTTAACAAACTTATCATCCACCACTGCATTTTCCAAGTAAAAAACACAATGCTAATGCTTGTAAAAAGAGAGGTACTTAGATAGATCGAAAGGTGGAGGAATCATCTTTTTACCTGAGAATGGCTGAGTGCAGAAAGGGCAAAGCTGTACTTCATCGTCCAGCGATGACCTGCAGCAATTTAGATATGTCAGTCAGCAGATTTGGGGGCAACAACAGAAACAAACTGAGGGATCGATTCTTGTTATATCCTTACTTGAATATCTGAAATTCGTTTCCACAATTCGGACACTGCAAAACCGTAAAGCGAGATTAAAAGTCGCAAGATCACAAAAGTATTAACAGAACCTAGAAGGATTTACTCAAAAACACAAGTGCTAGCTAACAGGTAACGATCACCCAGAGTTATGCTTAAAAGGCTCAGACTTTCTGGAAAATGCTGGCTTAAGACAAAGAGACAAGAAGACTTACACTGCTCTGGACAATATCTCGTTGTGCCCACCAAAGAAAAGCTCCCAACCCCAAAATTGGAACAATCACCACAATCAGCTGCAAGATTGTAAGAGTTTTAGATTAACCAAAACGCCAARCCCCCCCCCCCCCCCAAAAGAAAAAACACAATACAAATAACATCCAAAACTAATTACCCAGACGGATACAATAGCATCCAAAACCCAACCAAGCTGACCAGTCATGGAGAGATAAGTCAAGCCAATAGCCAAAGCAAGGTTTCCAAGGATCCTCCCGTTTCCATTGTTATCTCCGCCATTAAACCCTAAACCCTTGTTACAACTAACCCTAACCACCCGTCTCTTCAGGTTAAGAGCTTTCTCACTCGCCGGAATTCCAATTTCTCCCAGACCCATCATTCGCTGTCTCTCTCTGTGTCTATGCTCAATCAAGTAAGGTCTCAATCCCAACTTGTTTTGGAGCAGAGAAGGACCCAAGGTCCGTCCTTTCGACTGGAACCTATTTCTGTTGAAACCATCGTGTATGGACAAGTTACAAAGGATAATCTGTGGAATCGAAGCCATCGTCTGAATTTGTTTTCCGAACACAAAAGCTCAAGTTCATCAACAAATGATGATTTCGCGATGATACGGTAAATTTTACATTGACTAAGTTAAAAGACTCAGAAAGATAATCACGATGCGGGGATAGCTCAGTTGGGAGAGCGTCAGACTGAAGATCTGAAGGTCGCGTGTTCGATCCACGCTCACCGCATTTTGTCTCTTTTTTCTTTTTCCTGTTTTGCTTACTTGAAACGTGTCGTTTTGGGAATGTAAAAGAAAGTTAGGAAGCTTTTGACTTTTGACTTTTTTGAGAGACGCGGTTGACCAGAAAGTTTAAATTACAAAATAAAAAAAAACAAAGTGCACGACAGTCAAGATCTAATTATAAAAGGGTCAATTAGTCTAATAACCATATTGGCCGAACTATTGAAAAATATAGCTATTCTTATAAATAAAATAATTATCTATAGTGTTATGAAGAGATAATAATTATTTTTTGTGCTTTGGATAATAGTTATCTACACTATTATAAAAGTGATTATTTTTCTCTAAAATAATGTTTGTGACAGACTCTCCCTCCCTATATAAAGGGATATAGCACTTGACAATAGTAATAAGAAGTAATATGAACAACTTTCACTACTCTATCTCGTTCTCTCGATTCTTCTTCTTCATCA